GGGGGGGGGGAATAGTCGTACTGTGACGTGAAATTTGTAAGTGATTATCCTCAGTTCCTTTCAGTGAATCGAAAACGTTCCTGAAAATGAGAAAGATTTTGAGAACAAAACCGAAATACTTGTCGTTTCAGCACTTCTTCATATAGTCGGCGAGCTGAATAACCTCATTGATGACCCAGTGAGCTTTATCGGAAGTGGCTCTGTGCGGTTGGGAAGGCCCTTGTGGGGGATTCTACGTGGTTCAAGATTTTTTTCACAGAAGCGGACGAATTCGTTCATCTTCTCTGGCAAATGCTGCGTGTAATGAAGGAGACATGCTCGATGGGCGCACACGCTTTGGCAGCCGTAAGGAAAAGGGGTCCAAACAAATCATAATATATCAAGAAAGTAGAAATTTCTGACGATATTGGGTGACGAGAGAAGAAAAGAAATGATTAAAATCTTCAAATTCGAAAAAAAAATTGAGAAATTCCAAAAAAATACATAAATCGAAAAAATACCTAACCTAAGGAATATATGCTTTGATGACTCACAATCAAAATATCTGTCTCCAGTGATCATAAAAAAGGTTGCACGGATCTCAGAGTAGCCGGAGAAGTAGCGGTCGGTGATTGTCGCTGTCGTCGACGTCGACGACGGCGCCGACGACCGTTGGAGGTGGTGGCGGTGTCGGCCGCTGGCGTGCGCGTTCACGGAAAAAACACAGCGGCGAAAGAACTTTTCTCCTCTACCAGCTGGAGAAACTCTGAGCGGTTTTTTCTATCGCGCCGCTTTGTTTAAACGAAATACGAGATCGCGGTCGAGAAGTATTACGCGCATATGCCCGACGCTCAGTACTGATGCGAAAAAGAAACAAAAAATTGAAAACCCACATCGATCAGAATATTCGTAGAGGCGAAGCTCCAGGCCTTGCGTGTTTCCAGGAAATCAATACAATTATTGGTGCTCATTTCCTTGGGAGCAAATTCAAAACAGAGCATTAAAAACCGGCCGGTGGGTGACACTAGGAGTATGTAAGTCCAAGCGAGGAGGGGACGCCAGGGGTACAAAAAATGCTTGGATTCTCTCATAGAATCCCCTTCTTCTCCCTGAAGCTTAGCCCAAGCACTATGAGTGGCTCACTGACGTAACTGCTCTCCCCCCCCCCCTCTGAGAAAATAATAATTCATTCATTTTTACAGAAGATGAGTCTTTAGCAGTAGGCCAGAGTAGGCCTATTTTTTCGATTTTTCAAAACCTGTTTTTTCTGATGGTCTATTCGTAGTCGGAGAAGACCAGGTACTCTTTAAGAATTTTCCACATTTTCGTGCTAAAGTCCAACACTTGGAAGAGCAGCCCATGGAAATATACATCTTGTTGGTAGACCCTGGACGACTGGGCGGAGCCTAGAAAAAGGAGTACAAGCATTTCTGCCAGCCAAACCTGTGAAAAATTTTATTCGGCAAAAATTGAAACTTGGTATATGTAGTTTTACTTGTAACTAAGCATGACGTTCGGGCATAATGCTCAGTGCTACAATATCCAATTGATCCTAGTGATGTACAGTACTTCCTACTGCACTGGAATGAAGAAAGATAAACGCCACCCGACTTCCGTGTATGGTGCCTTTAAGGCCTGGTGCGGCCTAGCGATGAACCACTATCCATGCAGAGAAAACTATACTTTGTATCAGTCCTCGTTCTCTTACCTTTGTATGACTAAGTGCATTAAAGGAAACCTGAATTCTCTAAATTCCCCAATTCTCAGTAGGAAAAGTGCAGGAACAGAAATGTGAGCATTTTTTATATGTCTGTCAATTGGTTACGGTAACTGAACTTTTTGCAGAAAAAACTGCTTGAAAAAGAAAGACGTGGGCTCACTTTCGCAATGTGAGCGGGAGAAGGAAAAACTACAGGGTAGCTATGGAAATTGAACTAGCTCGCTAGGAGAATGTAAAAAAAAATAACTTCTCTGAAAACTAATACTGAGAAGGTACTGCAAGCGGAGCAGCAGGATAACCAAGTTGGTATTATGTGAGGTTTCACAGGACTTCTGTGCGGAAATAAAGCAAAAAAATGTGAGATTCCAGAAGGCAATAAAGGCTGAAACGACAATCAGTGCTGCCCGACGATCTTTAGCAGTATAGCCATAAATTGTGGACCGCTGATTTATATCGCTTCAGTAAAGGAAGGCCCATTTACCTGCAACAATTCGGTGATTGGCAAGCTAGCGCAACTCTTTAGAGAAAGATTAACCCTTTATGAACAAAATAACTAAAACAATTCGTTTCGCTACTCAGATACACCTTATCATGTGCTCAATCCCCAGAGCTCATCAGTGAGTTGGGATTGGCGAGCTAAGGAAACAGGGGAAAGCCTGAAGCTCTATTCCAATTGTTTTACCCAATGGCTCTCAAATATTTTCATATGTTCTTCGTGCATCAATATCACATACTCCGTTGAACTTTATACCTCCTGAGAAATCTTGAACGCTTACAATAGATGCTTTAGTTTGCAGTCCGCGTCGCTGTCATCAGTTACCGTCATGCGAAACGCCCAAGACATAGAATTCCCCCCCCCACCCCCCCCCCCCCCCCCCCCCCCCGGTCCTACCTATCTTCAAAAAAGAAAAACGTCAGGCTGCCGTGATTCTAATACCTTCTGTCTAGAAACACTGGAACTTGGGTCTGAGTTACTGAATGGTATGTATCCCCCTTTCAAAAAGCCGGGAAAGTGTCGGGTGCAGCACCATACACCATCAATTTTTTTGCGAAAGGCCTCACCCAAATGTGAATGTTTTTTTACGAATAAAATGATTAACCTACTGCAGTTGTATTCTGTCAGTTTTCACTAATTACAACCATCATCTCTCAAAAATGAGCTATCCCCCGTTAACGCGACTACTAATCAGATTACCGAAAGCCTCGTCACTTGGATGTAGGTGTGTACGACGCGACACACTTCTACTTTTGAATGGGAGGGTAATGTAATCGCCATAGCTCTTAATCTCGGATAAGTATAATACTATAGGTAACAAACAGCTAACAAGAAAAGCGAGCATCGGTGGAATCAGGTCCATCTCGACTGAATAAGTGATTTTTTGCGTAGGAGATTTTTGGTCAGCCTAAGAATATTGCAATACATGGCTGCTGCTGGCTTTCAAGTTTAGTAATTGCAGAAAGAAAACGATTGCTTTTCTGGATTCCCACAAGATACCAGTGATTGCAGAGACGTCATACTATTTGTTAAGTCTGCACCTGCACTTACTGCACTGCACAGAAACAGTTAGCTCGAATTAAGTTTGTGGTAAATACACATTGCAGTGGACGTGCAAAATTCCATCCACAAGCAATTCACACAGGAACTCCGAAATTGCCATAGTTTTTGCAAAAAATGGCTTATTCGACAGACAGCTGTAATAATTTGTGTGTGTTAGCGATAATTGATGTGAATGTGAATCGACTGATTTCCTGTCAGGAAAGCCTTTTTCAATACGATCTTCAGTTCCATGTCATGAATCTATGCTACGAGTTCAGCGTCGAGTCCGTGTCGCGGCGCGTTAAAAGATGTGCAAAGACGCTGGAGGCGAAAAAATCGCGCCGAATCGAGGTCAGTGGTGACGTTTTGAGGTAGGCGGTTGTGATGAAAAACGACCTGACCACATTCAATCCAACTAAGGATTTGATGGTATACGGTAGATGGAAAAAAGTGTCCGCGTACGAGATTTGCCGAAATGCTTTTTGAGTGAATTACACACAATCGTTAGCAAAAACCCCAACCGCCGACCGCGTAGTGGTGGTGAACAAAAAGAAATATGTGGAGCATGAACATAGTGGGGGGAAACACACCGTTCTCATACACGTTCGCAACAGCCACAATCGCCGGCTGTTGAGACGGATGATCGCGAAAAAAGCCAGACAACAACGGATGATTGGATGACTGATTGGAGTGGATTTTCGAATAAAAAGTACTAACTTGTTGTGAGTTGCAACGCGTTGATACTCCTACGGTTCAAGATTTTGAAAGATAAAAAAAATCTTCAGAAATTCATGGCCCACTCCAACCGTCGATAGATCCTTCCTAAGGATTCCACCAAATCTCGCTTCGCTGTACCGGACGTGCTGCAGCAATTGAAAGGGCGCATTATCCCCTTGAGTGCCAACCTCCACGATTCTTCAGAAGATTAAAAATACATGAAAATAAAACTCATCACTATGCGACCCACCCTTGCATAGAAATAAAAGAAGTTGGATAGCAACATTTGAAGCATTCTATGGAAGCCCAATTGAAGAGAAGAACTCACTCACTCACGTCAACCTCTTCAATCATGATACAGGTCGCGAGCTTCATTTCCTGCGTAATATTGAAGACATTCAATATTACCTTGATATTCAGTGATAATTCAGAATTATCTTGTTGATATTT